ACTTCCAGCAAACCTTCCACACAAAGTCCGCGCACCAGTATGATTTAACAATCGATCTGGCCGTTGTGCGATAAAACTCACACGTATGTGTGATATGGTTGAGTTAAGGCTCGAGTAAGAATATGGTACATCGTATACGTAATTGAGTCTGGACTGGTACTTCTTTAACTTTTTTCTAATTACTCAATGCATGTTACAGTCTTGCAATGACTGTTAAACTGTCAAAAATACACTGCCCTCCAAAAGTTCTGTTACATATTTAAAATTTTGCTGATAAATTATCTTTGACAAAACTATTGGAAAAAAATAATTCTTTAAATGTTTTTTTCTATTAATGAAAAGGGATTTGCCATCATTGATTATCCAAATTGAATCACAAAAAGGGTTTTGTCAAACAATTCTGTTATTCACATTTTACAGAAATCTATCAGATGTTTGAGAATTGTTAGATTTACTTAAATGTACTCGGTATTTAATTTTAATTTTATTTAAAATGACAAAATACATCACTATTCACCATTCATTGATTATTTGTTATCTCTTGTATATTTGTACTATTCAATCACTTTGCAAATACTCATGAGAAGAAATGCAGCGAATGACAAGAGAAGAACGATTCCAGCGTGTTTTTTACCATCGCAATGGTGTTGCTGCCGCCCAAACTACAAGAATTATTGGAACCAACGGGTAAGTGAATGTTGGTTTCATCGCGGATTTTGGTGCATTTGCATACTTTTCTTATCCAGAACCTGTCTACTGTTTTACGTTTCTCTTTTGTTGCAGACAGAACGTGTACAGGGCCATTAAACGGTTCCAAGATACCGGGAACTATGAGGATCGAGAACGTTCTGGCCGGCCACGAATTTCTACCCCTGGGGATGATAGATTATTGGTCCGGACCAGCCTCAGAAATCGCAAGGATACCGTTCCTGAGCTTCGAAAGGAGTGGATCCAAAATGGTTTGGTTTAGAGTCGAATACCGCAGTGAGGAGACGATTATACAATGCGGGATTGAAAGGTTGTGTTGCTGTCAAAAAAAACTGTTGACTGCTACCAATCGTCGGAAAAGATTGACATTTGCACAGAACCATGCAAATTGGAAATTGGTGGAATGGTCGACTGTTTTATGGACTGAGGAGCCTAGGTTCACCAATTTACAAACAGATGGCAGGACGTGTGTGAGAAGAAGGGCAAATGAACAAGTGTGGCAAAATTGTGTAGTGCCTACAGTTAAGTTTGGTGGTGGCGGTGTGACAGTTTGGGGTGTACTGTTCTACCGAGGGATTGGATACCTCAATCTTTTGAAAGGAAATCTGAACGGAACCAAATACATAGACATTTTAGAAAACAGCGGTACCATCAGCACATCTGCTAGGCTATGGACACAACTATTTCTTCCAGGATGACGGAGCCCCAGGCCACCGGGCACGAATAGTGAACGAATGGAAGGAGGACAATAGTCTTCTGTCTTTTGATTGGCCCCCACAGTCCCTCGACTTGAACCCCTCAATTAGTTGTAGTTGATACATTGTAGTTAAGACCTGAATATTTACCTTGTAGGCGGATACTCTACAATCAAAGTTCCCTGGTGTATTGTATTCAGAGAAGTTAAGACCTAACTATTGACATGGTGGGCAGACAATCTACTATCAGAGCTTTCTGGTGTTTTCCACACAGAGGAAGAAACATGTCTACACGATAACGTTGTTAGGTTCAGAGTTTGATAATTATCGTTAGACAGGTAAACGAGGTATATTTTCAGTAGTCAATTACTCTATTTTAAAAGAAAACTGTCATACCCTCTTGTAAATGCCGGATACCTGGGCGGATATTCGTCGATCAGAGCTCCCTCTGGTGGTGTATACGTATAATATTACTTATGTAACATTGATGAATATTTTTTTTTCTTTTAGAAAACTCTTCTCGCGAAGGTTCTATTAATACGCCCAACACTACTTTTAGCGATTTCTGTATAATCCATGTAACATAATATCAAAATCGTGACAAGTCGGTAAACTGAATATGACTGAAGTAACATTAACAAAAGAAGGCGTTCTAAACAGGATTGTTTCCCGACATTTAAGTCTGAAATTAAACATGGGTTTGCTGTGTACGAACCAGACACCAGCCCATACTCGACATTTGCTTGCGCTGGTTAAAGGAAAAAGAGATAAGTACAGGTGTGTGATACCACAACGCACCCACATTACCGTGCGCACACCTCGAATACATCATGCGCAAACCTTCCACACAAAGTTCCCGCAACTGTATGATTTAACAATCGATCTCGCCGTTGTGCGATAAAACGCAAACGTATGTGTTATATGGTTGATTTAAGGCTCAATGAAGGACATGGTACATCGTATACGTATTTAAGTCTGGACTGGTATCTTTTCACTTTTTTTTTCTAATTCTTCATTGCATGTTACAAAGTATGGCAATGCCTGTAAAGCTGTCCAAAAATGGAGGTGCTGTCAGGTAAACTACTATTTTACTATTTTACTATTACACGTACGTTATAATAAATCGATGGCGTTGATCGCCTAGTATAGCTAATCGATGCTTTGAAAGGTATCAAGATACACCTTACTTTGCATGGGCAAATTTTGTCTGCAACACTTTGTGTGGAAAACTAAAACCTCCTTCACGGTTGACTAGTGATACGAATAAATTGTACCCGAAACAGGTTGATGGTAACAGGTAAGGCTGCTTTGGTTACATTTTATTTGCACGTACCGTGTCAATTAAGATCGTTTCAAAATATTAGTTTGTAGATAATGTGTCCATAACTGCTACATGATAAATATTTTGATAACCATCTTATTCTGGCTGATATTTGATAACATTCTTTTATCACGTAAGATATAAGCTTAATCACAAAATTGTACTAATTGTGTGTCTCTCAGCAACACATATGCATCACTTGCTACCCCGCTGAAGTGGTGATGATTTTTAACAATAACCTGAATTTCCCCTCTTCGGCCCAACCCCTGTGTCCTAAGGGGACACTTCCTCTATTCATGTACAATTGATTCATCATTGCTAAATGACTATCTACATTTTAAAGTGTGAATCCCTCACCCTACCTGGTAAGTCTGACCTCCCTCTCTGCCTTGTAAAGTATGAACCGTTCAACCTACTTGGTAAGTCTGAACATCCCTCTCGACCTTGTAAAGTGTGAACCCTTCACCTACCTGGTAATTCTGAACATCCCTCTCTACATTGCTACCTGTGGATCCCTCACCCTACTTGGTGAGTCTGGACATCACTCTCTACCTTGGAAAGTGTGAACCCCTCATCCTTCTTGATAAGTTTGAATATCCCTCTCTACATTGAAAAGTGGGAACCCCTCACCCTACCTGGTAAATTTGACCTCCCTCTCTACCTTGTAAAGTGTGAACCCTTCATCCTACCTGGTAAGTCTGAACATCCCTCTCTACATTGCAAAGTGTGAACACCTCATTATACCTGGTAAGTCTGAACACTCTCTACATTGTAAAGTATGAACCCCTCACCCTACCTGGTGAGTCTGAACATCTCTATCTACATTGTAAAGTGTGAACCCCCACCCTACCTGATGAGTCTGACCTCCCTCTCTACCTTGTAAAGTGTGAACACCTCACCCTACCTGGTAAGTCTGACCTCCCTCTCGACCTTGTTAATTGTGAACCCCTAATCCTACCTGGTGATTCTGACCTCCCTCTCTACATTGTAAAGTGTGAATCCTTCACCCTACCTGGTAATTCTGACCCCCTCTCTACATTGTAAAGTGTGAATCCTTCACCCTACCTGGTAAGTCTGACCTCCCTCTCTACCTTGTAAAGTGTGAACACCTCACCCTACCTGGTAAGTCTGACCTCCCTCTCGAACTTGTAAAGTGTGAATTCATCACCCTATCTGGTAATTCTGACCTCCCTCTCTACATTGTAACGTGTGAATCATCCACCCTACCTGGTAAGTCAGAACCTCTCTCTCTATTTTGATGTTTAACACTTTACTTACTTTTACGTTTCCATAAACAATCGCTGGCGATTGTATTGTAACATTCTCAACTGATTAAGTTACATATTTTGATAGCACTTATGCTTGAAAGACTTTAATTTTTAGATTTTTATCGGTTCTTAAATCAATTAGTCAAAATATGCTCTATGATATACACAACGGCAACTGTCATCCTTTTGTTCACGAGTAAAGTTTCAAATAACGTTTCGAATTAGCATTCCGTGTTCGTCGTACCAATGGGTATTTAAAGCTAGGGTATCAATAGTTCGTTGTCCTTCATCAGTGAAGAACCATTTGGTTTTATGCCAAAGAGAACAGATGTCACTTCGTGTACTATTCTAGAATATATCACGCTTGGTGCGATTTAATAATATTATAGAAGAAATATGTGCTGTATGATGCAAAAAAATCCGTTTCACGAGCCAGTATACGTAGATGAAGGAGATACATATTAAAAGGGAGTCAAATTAATCTAACTTTGGGGTTTCTTAGAATAAGATTTGTTTCTAAGGAACGAAGATATGCATCAGAACATGATGGTATTTGTACTATGAATAGGTGGCTTCAAATCGAAATAGGTTTACATTTTCCTTGTACAAGCAGACAGTACACAATAATTCAATTTTACTCTTTTTTCTGCTAAAATACCGTAACCTCTTAATATTTGCTCTTTGTGACTTTATATACAATTTATATATGTTAAAGCGTGTGTAGCATTTCCCCAGTAACCGTATATGTGATCTATGTTATAGAACTCTTAATCATTGAAGTTATAGGACAAATAGGGAGATTCGTGACAATATTGACTAGTTCATCATCCTTGATTTTAAACCAAAATTCAAAAACTAGGTTGAAAGTAAATATTTAGAAAGGACACAAAAAAAGCTCATTACATTATCCCTGAAAGTCAAACCATTTACCTAAGCATAATCAGAGCATGACTATAGTTTGTCTTCAGGAGACAATTAAATGCAAATGTGTAATAGATGTAATCCTACCTTCTTAGATGGTGATGAACCTCCCGTCGCCATTGTTAAACCTAAGATCGATCCGGCTAAATGTCCTGTAAGATAAAAGATACAACTTCTTTTTTGTATGGATATATTCAAAATTCAAAAACTAGGTTGAAAGTAAATATTTAGAAATGCCACAAAGGAAACGCGCATTACATTATTCCTGAAAGTCAAACCATATACCTAAGCATAATCAGAGCATGACTATAGTTTGTCTTCAAGAGACAAGTACATGCAAATATGTAATAGATGTTATCCTACCTTCTTAGATGGTGATGAACCTCTGGTTGTCATTGTTAAACCTAAGATCGATCCGGCTAAATTTCCTGTAAGATAAACGATACAACTTCTTTTAGTATGGATATATTGCTGAATACGAGGTAACACAAATTGAAAAAAAAAAATGAAGTAAAATATGACACAGATGCAGTTAGATTTTATCTAGAGAATATATGCGGTGTGGATTTTGTTTTTCACGGAAGACATGGCAGGTACATTATTAAAACAGTGATGCCTAACGTAGGTAGGTTAGTATAGCATCTGCTTAATTGACTAGGTTTCTTAAAATAACAGGAGGTTAATTGCATATTACAATTACGGATTAAGGATCAAATTAAGTAAAAGATGTATACTGCATTCTGTGAATTTATGAGAACAGGCAAAACAGATATTGATGCTGACGTTTTCAAGAAGACACATATTATAAAAAGGCCAATACTGAACAATATAGTGGTTGTAAAAGTGAAAAATTATACAACGAATCTGTGCATATTTGAAACTATTAAAAGGAATGATGACAACATTTCAAAAAGGACATTTGATTCATTGTTCAAAATGCTCAACTTTGCAATTGGTGGTATATGAATTAATCGGGAAACGCACAATTGAACGAATTTCAGGTTTTTGATTTAGCTCACCTTGTATTTTGGATCTAACAGAGGGACAGATGCGTAAGACTCCTAAATTGATGAATTCCGAAACAGTACTCTTACGGAAAAAGCAGAAACTAAACCATTAAACAGCAGGTAAAATTGACAGTTTTAATGATACACTCACATCGCTATAAATGTGAATTAATATTTAACGTTTTAATAACATTTTGTGTTAAGAAAAAATAATAAAACACACTTAAAGCAGAAATAAGCTTTTCGGTATTTTGTTGCGTTTTCTCGCGAGAGTGAAGGGCATTGAGCTATGTCTTTGCTAGGAGGAAATGATTAAATCAGAATACAATTAGTCACATTAGTATCAGGAAATTAGTCTCTGTTAATCTGGAATCCATGTGACAGAGGGAACGTTATACGAAGAAGATGTAGGTATTGTTAACGCATTATAAACTGGTGACATAATTATACATGTTTATCGTGTAAATAACATATATAGAGTGCCGTGGTATGATCCAGTGCAGGAACGATGGAAAACAGAGTAGATGACTTATGTACAGTTGTGGGATCGCACAACGTTACATGATGTACTGTGTGCGCACGATGTGTGCATGGTGTGTGAACGATGTGTGCACGAGTGCGAACCATAAAAAATGGACGATCATTGCTTGCGCACATTTGTGCGGACGATCGACATATGTTGTGCGATAACACTCGTGGTTGGTGTAAAATGAGGAATGACTGAATAATACATACGATTTCGTGTTTAAACATATAACACTTGATTTTTTAGTTTGTTTCTACATTCTTTCTACATCTATAAACTTATCTTTCCGTCTATACTTTCTTAAATTTAGAAATGGTGTTTTCGGTCTTTTTTAAACAACGTTCATCAACAAATGAAAAATTACAACACAGTCTCGGCAACACAGGTAAATATAGCCAGTCTGTACCTGGACCGTAGTTTTCCACTGCCGGGGCACTTACGTAACTCGCCCAGGTGTGAAAACTAGGTGAAAGAGAGTTATAGACCAAAATAATGCAAATAGCAAATACTAAACGTCCAGTTGTGTTTTCATAATGGTCACACTGTATCAAATAGCAGCGCTTTGTGTCAGGCACAGGCCAGGTTAAACTCCGGTCACTCATCAAGTTGTTATTTACCTGTTCTGTTACCTAAGAGCCAAACTAATTCTTGACAGTCTAACGGTCACTGTAATACTGTGTTACACGCATTGTTTAATTGTACAAAATCTTAATTATTGTGTTGATAAATTACAGTAATATATACAGTATACATTATTGCATACGAGTCATTCCGTAATATTGATTGTTAAATCGCTCAGTTGTGTGCACCACGTGTAGACGATGTGCGGACTGTGTGTCAACGATGTATGCACGGTGTGCGCACTGTATTTTTGATGCGCTTTGTGGTCACAGAACTGTAGAGTACCGCGGTGTGATACAGGGAACGAGATAATTAAATCAAACTCGGGTTTTTAGTACACATACAAGATGGTAAATGACAATATATGTGCGTGCGCTTGCTGCCCCGGTGTCATAGTATGACAGACCGGAGTGCAGTATTATCTTTTAATAATTTGACCGGAGCTATATTATATATTTATATAAAACTTGTATTAAACAGGGTTAACAGTTCTATTCAAGGTATCAGAAAATAGGATGATCAAGATACTTACAATACATGTTCATGCCTCATTATTTCCATGTACTTTTTTTCAAATTTGATATATTATTGTAATTAGGTAACAATTTAAATAATCATGATCAAATATATTTACCGCCATTGACTTGTGATTATTAGAACTGAATGGTTTTAATTGCGGAAAGACAGGCTATTGCCGTTTTGCTATTGCTAGTAATGGTCTGCCTTAATAGATAAGTGATCAGTCCCTTATGAAATGACTTCAAAATAAAAAATGATAGGTTGCAATGAAAAAAACCACCATATCATAGTACTTCTTAAGGCGCATACCTGAATAATAGACAGTGACCGTGTAGACACATTTCTTCACACTCAGAGATCCGTAATGTCTATATAAACATATAGCTGTATTCTATATGTTGACTAGGTAAAACTTGTAGTCAATGGTGCCATTTAAAACAGATAGTTAAGGTCTGCACACTGACCTATGTTTTCACGACAATCTTAGCACCGCATTGTTTTTCACCAAAAATAGCTATAAAGATCTCCTCCAACATGTCACTTAAAAACAACGGTGTAAACACTGCCATTATAGCTAAACGACTAACATTCAAATGCTCTAGTGAATATGATATCATGTTTAAATCGACTTTTAAAGCCAGTTTTCAATAGTTCTTCAATTAAAAACGCTCTTATACTTAATGCAAAACAAAACTAATATAAACACGTACCACAATACGGAATCCTGACAGCTTAATCATCCCTTTCAAACATATACAAAATACGTATTATTAACAAGAGATGGTCTTACTTAATTATGATTCGCTATAATCATAATGCGGTATTGCTATTCTCAAACGTAGCCGTAGGAATCTCTTCCAATATGTCATCAAACATAACGGTGCAAACATTGTCGCTAAGGCAATAATACGGGCATTTTAATGCTCTAGAATAAACAAGCAATGATGCACTCACATGACAAAACATTTAAATTGACTTTTAAAAAATAGTTTTGGGATAATACAGAAATTAACATATAATCGTAGGTGGTCGAAAAGGAAAGTTATACGAGGGAGTGATCTATAGAAAATTAGGCTGTAAGCTACAGAAAACTTCGTTTTTACATGTTGTATATATAAATTAAAATTGTCTAGTATGGCTGTTATCAAATGACGAGGACATATATTGAAAAAGGCGTGGTTTAAGAGGGCTATTACGACCACCATCCACCGCTATTCCCTTTATCCCATTCAGTTGTCCAAGTAGCCTTTTTGAGGTAAAATAATTATTTCTGCGGAAATGTATATACAGTTTTTAAGTACATATTCAGAGCCAAGTTTTACTTCTTTTTGCCATTTTTGCACATCTCTTTATTGACTAAAATATGTTTGCTTAACAATACAAGATATCTTAATTTAAATAAAGATCGATCTTGCTCCTGGGCGATTTAAACGTTCGATATGATGTACATATGCATACATATTTTTTTGTTTTGTTTGCTGCGGTTTTTTTATCGCCTCTTTATCGGGAGGATTTCACTGCCAACTCAACTACTCTCAATTTCCAAGATTCATATCGAATGTATTAACAAATATAAATATAAAGTGAACAATACAATTTGATTATTCATGGATATTATAACGAGTAAAAAGGTCGTTTGCAATAGTTTACGCGTATTAATCGGATTAAAAATGAAAACATTATACAAAACATCGGGAAAATTGTGTTTTGAATATAATTGTTATCCAAATATAGCTCATTTAAGTGGACTTATAAAGTGTAAAAGAAAGAACATTAGTCTAAGATGCAGCTTATGTAATGGTCCCCTCGTTGTCAACACTGCATGGTACTAAGTGTGGTTTAGGGTGAGAAATGTAGTCGGTGGCCGGGTAGGTGAACCCATACCTGTACACGTACGATCGGGGAATCAAATCACGGTCGACTTTATGAAAGGCGAGTGCGTTATTCACTTCGCCACCTGACCACCATAACCACCCTTGTAATCGTCTCTAAGTAGGCTTTATTGTAGGAAAATATCCCCATTTAATTTATATAACATTACAACTATTTCAAAATGTTGGCTTTGTCGCTCAGCAACATTTGTCCCTCATTGTGTTCCTTTTTGTTACCCCGCGAAAGTGGGATTGATATTAAACGTTTACCTCAATTCCCCATATTTGTCCCCACACGTGCGCTCTCAGGCGGACACATCTTCCATTTGTACACACGTGATTCCAAATTGCCTTAGGATACTCTAAACCATATTTGGATAAACTTCCTTAATTAGTTGTATTTTATGCAGGGTAGTTAAGGCATTGTAGATGGATAATCTCAATCAAAGTTCCCTAGTGTATTCTATACAGAGTGGAATATGCCTAACCATTGACTTTGTATGTAGAGATTTTACAATATGAGTTTCCTGGTGTATTTGGTACACGTTGACCTTGTGATGTACAGTTTCATATGTATTGGACAGGTAAATTAGATTAGACAGATTTTATATTTGTTCCACACATTTTCGTCTCTTCTTTCCTTTGCATTTGTGTATAGAGGTGGTTGGACATCAGGTCGCTTACAAACATCCCGTTGTGGCAAATTAACGTTTGAATGTTCCTTCGTAACAGTAACATGATGGCGACGAAGCGACTTTTATCATTATGTGAGCTACACTATTAGCCATACAAGTCTGCATTTTGCTGACAACTGTGATTGGTTGTTTATTCTCCTATAAAATAACAACAGAAGAAAGTAGAAATTTATTCAGTTATCTGCTATTTTCGACTTCGTGTTAAATCGACAGCTTTCATGGAATTACTCCATGCAACACAACCAACAACCAANGGGGGGGGGGGGGGGGGGGGGGGGGGGTCATTTTATGCTATTCTTAGAAGACTATTTAAGGATCGTTTCAGAGTAGTGGATTTTTGGATTTCTATACTACTGCGATCAACTCTAGCATGCACCGAGTCTTTGTGTTCAGTATAAATCGTAATTAACAAAGACATAATTCTGAAAAAACAACAGTAAGGTGTGATAAGCCGAGAAAAATATATCAGTTGTACATGTAATGAAAACCAGGGAATGTAACTGGAGGCAAGGAAAACTAAACGATCGTTCTCTAGTGTTTTGTCACAAGCAGGGGGACATAAATCCTTAATAGAGATGAAATGAAAAAAAAAATGTTTGAGATGTTCCGTGATTTTACTACTCTCAGTGTCCGTCTCTGACTCCGTGCTAGGTCTGCCACAAAAATAAGAAATGTCTACTAAGGAGTGATATTTATATGAGGGCTGGCCAATTTTACACTGATTTCCATAAGCTTACAATACTTTGACTATTATGATATTCAAATAAGTTGACTATACTTTTAATATTGTGTTATTCAAATAAGCTAAATATACTTTGCATACTGTGTAAACATTCTGGTAAGTGTGATTTGAATATGCTTGCCAAACTAGTGTATACCTAGCGAGGCCGCGGGGTACGCTATTGATTGAGTCGGTGGCGAAAGAATATCAATGGTCAGTAGCATTAAGTAGCAAATCGAGTAAAATGCGATATAGATTGCTTGCATTTGTAACTGACAATTGCTTGAAAATTAGATAAAACACTATGAACCATGATAAGCGAGTTGTTCCTCTATCCACTTAGATGCATGTAGAACATTAAACTGAAACCTAGAGAAAACTTAAATTTGACATGCTGTATACCGACGGGAAATACATTGCCCGATTGCGACTTTGATTGTATGGGCAGAAAAGATAGAAGAGTGGCGCTGATTAAAATTGGGCTTCCGACCTTCAGTATCAACCCTCCTTGTAACTCCCTTCAATAGTCATGACAGCTGTTTGAGGTAGACAACTTCCTTTGAAATTGCATATTAAATTTAACGTTTATCTTTGGATTCAGGCTCTCTAGCCCCTTTTTACATTTGCGCTAACATCAATATTTCGACTGAAAATAGGCTGTATAAGCAACACAATGAGATTTTATTTATAAATGGTGAACTTGTGAACTGTATTTGCAGTTGTAATTGGCCATTGCTTGAAAATTAAATAGCAATCAATGTACATGGAGAAGTGAGTTGTTGTTTATGGCGCTGATTAATAGGGGGCTTTTGACGACCACCATCCACCCTTTTTTCAACCCCCTTTAATAGTCAAGACAGCCTTTTGATTTAGAATGCTTCCTGTGGAAATGCTTATTATAGTTAGAGAACATGACTTGCTCCAGGCTCTGCATCCCCCCTTTTTTATTACATCTGCGCTACTAACATCAATATTTTGACTGGAAATATATTTTCTGGTCAACACAATGAAATTTGCTATTTAAAAAATGGTGAACTTGTTCCTTGGAAATATACACCGTTGAACGCATTGTCCAATACAGTTCCAAAGTGAAATGTAGGAGTGTTCTCTTACCTGTAACAATTGTTAATATATTAACCAGTGAAAAATCGCAAACAATGAGAAGAATCTTATTTCATTATTCCTTGGGCTCTGCAATACCTAAACCAGCATGCTACTATACTACAGTCGCAATATCAATGACACATTTCCCTCGATTTTTCAAGTTTGAAAACAAACCTTTATTACTTTACCACCAAAATAATTTTACAACACGTATGAAAGAAGTTATTCCAACTTATGATCACGCGTGTTTGTTTTGATGGAAGCACACATATGGTGACTGGATCTGTCGACTTTAACTAGTAAGCTTTTTCCTTGACATTTTCAGATTTAACTGTCATTCCAATTCGTGTTCCGGACGTTGACAGTGATGTTGCAAAATTATCAACCAATTACCTCTTGCCATTCTGTCATCTTTATCATTAAGTATGAAAGTGTGACATAATGTTGGCGCGTGTTAGCTGTTTGTATTTCAGGGTTCAGGAATGCTTTAATTGAATGAGCAATTGGATGCTTATGCTAGACGTTACTGAGCTGACCGTATAAAATATGAGGACACAGGATTATCACAAAAGACGTCATGCCAACAAGGATCGTTATAATCTATGGCGAGGGAAACACAATATTTGGAATATGCTGATGACAACAATAATAGCGTATATAATCTTTATTAGATTAAACAACACGTACGAACGGAGATATTCCATCACACATATGTATCAGTATCTGCTATAACTGATGACGGAAGAACAAAATGGATCTTAGAGAAGGAACTTGATTGTACGGAGAAAAGCTACGGGGTTGGGTAGGAAACCCAGTGGAGTAAAACATGTTCTATTTTTTAATGGTGACACTGACTAGAGATCTCGACCGCAATTATCTTGTTGGAAATAAACAAATACTAAAATTTCAAAATTTCTACTCAATAGGACGCTATCTATTTTAATGGAAGATATTTCCATTTTTTCACAATTATATATAATATACAAGCGGTCAATTATATACAACACTCAGTTCAGACCTAAAATGAGAGGCTCCTATACAAAAAATAATGAGCCAACATAACATTCAGATTCCTCAGTAAACACTTCACATTAATTTTTGTTTTGGAAGTAACATTGAATTGGCAGATATGAGAGGAGCGCAATCATTTTTTAGCCGAACAAATATAGTATAATCATATGGTTTATACTTAGAACTGACGATTGCTTGTTCGATGTTAGGGAAAATGCTCGCCTGAACATGGTTTACAAATCTGTTATAGTAGCGAAACCGTTTAACTGAGGAATGTGAACCATCTAGAAATCTACAGAAATTCAGACTTACACCGTTCACATGCCAATGTGTTTAGCTTGTCACTCTATTGTTTAAGTAGCTAGCAAGATATACAAGCTACATGTAAAATAGCTCATATAACCATAAAACACTTAAACTATTACATATATTTAAGAAATGGTGTATTGTTTAACAATTCCCGTTCAAACATATTCCATGATTCTTTAAAGCGCGTTTGGAGAACATGATTAACGGGAGAGCGTTGTATATTATCATATATGCTAAAATCTATGACAGAAATAATGTACACGGCTTGCTTGTTATTTAAACTTATTTTGTTTACCTCAGTGTGGCAAGATAAATAGTCTGTCATATTGACGGCTCAAGTCTAGAACGAGTGTGAGTATTCGGGAAAATGCGTCATAATTTGAATTTGACGTCACGCATTGATTGGACCCCGATTGCTCCAAACGTTAGGCAAAATAAATACCGACTTGTTTCCAATTGGAAAATATTCATTTGTTCTGGTTCTAGCTCTTATAACAATATGATCGGTTGGTAGCTTTTTCTAGGGACTGAACAATGGAAATGCAAATATACACACATACCTCCAGTTCTGCCGTTGATCCCCTGGAATAATTCTTTAAACGCAGAACTTCATAATACCATGATACACCTGTAGCTAAAAAAGCCTACAGCGAAACAAAGTTCACTAGTACTTTTTATACAGATGAAGTATTAGTCACATAAGGACCGTGTAGACACAATCCGTACAGTCAATATTTCATTACTGGTACTGCACATGTAGCTGGAGACATGGGCGGATTACCATCAGTCAGAGCTCCCTCTGGTGGTGCATAGCATAAAATAAATTTTGTTACACTGATGAATCGTCTGTTTTTTTGAAAACCTGTTTTCACACAGGTTCTATTAATACACCTGCACTACCTTCAGTGATCACGGTTAAACCCTTACCGACATGTAATATAATATTCCAATCGTGACACGTCATTAGCCCATGATAATTACTAAGATCGACGTAACATTCACAAAATGAAGTTTCTTTTATATAATGAAATACTTAGCGATATTTGAATCTTATATCAAACACGGGTTTACTGTTTACTTATCAGACACCGGGACATAATCGACATTGCCTTTTGCTGATGACCCAGAAAAGGATAAGTAGAAAAAAGGAAAGAAACGAAACTAACCTAAACTGCATAAGACTTTACCAGACTTAAAATAGTGGTAAATCGATTCTTAAATAAAAAATAAAAAGTTCAAATATTTTCTTTAAGAAAGCCGCTCTCTTACCGATAATCAATCGTGTGTTAACGATGATTATTCAAATTAACAAACATTGTTTTTAAAGATGTCGACATGACCCGAGAAGATGTCGACATAGTCAAAGGATATGCGGCAATAACGTTTTAATTATGTCGCTATATATCTACATAGATAGCATTGCCGAGATAATTAGCACATTCCGAACAAATATCTTGTGGTGTACTGATAGCTGATAATCAGGTTTAAAAACGAATTAACCTTGTTTTAGGTGTTGTATATCATTATATCAATTCTAGTCACGTGATCAAAAATTTGTGGAATGATTTGTTAACTGCCCATTTTGCCTTACATAAATAAATAGCAAGTCGATGCCACATTTCAGCATAAACACAATACAAAGCCGTATTACCTATTTACTTGATAATTATATCGCTTTTACTATATCTAAATAAGTAAAAAGATATCGACGTAATTTTAACGTTTTAGCGACGTATTCAAAATTTGAGTTGACATCTTTTAAAAGTTATATCGACAAAGGTAATTCGAAAATCGAATTTTTGGAGTACGAAAAGTAGGTGACCTTGTGTTGATATGAAGTACAAGGGGGTGATATACAATGTTTATGTGGGCAGGTTATGTGTATAGTAATTCCTACCGATTTTATAGTGCTATTGCACTGAAATGTCATGCACGGTCAGATTGTAGTGACAACGGATGAACCAGTTGCTGACATTACGCCAGATGCTGAGCCTTAAGCAGGGAAACCCCAACTACCATTTCTAAGGACTTTGGTATGTCCCGGTCAGCCCCGACTGTGCACTTCTTCATTTAAAAAACGAAAATAATTCGTGATTAATATGTTTTACAATATATTTGATTGTTTGAGAGTCATTTTATGTTATTCTGGAAACACACTTACACAAGAAAAGGATATACAAGCTATTTAACATGGAGCGTGTCTTTGTGTACATTTATATGGGCAATGTGTTTTGATTTGACTGGGTAAAGAATGGAACTGAGCTGATGGAGTGGCCAATTTCAGTAAGTTCATCATTTATATAAATACTCATTATTATCTCTCTTGTCGTTATGGCATGTACACTAACTGCGTCAACATTGAGATTCGACTTACATTCTTGCAATAAATACATTATTTTGCAGCCAATCATTACTTCGTTATATAAACTATTTGTTAGTCTGTATTTTTAATGACGTACATGTACATCACAATTTGATCCTTCAGTGTAAGATTAATATAATGTTCCCCTCCCTTGAGGGTGTGACAGAGAAAAAATCCTAATGATGATTATTTTCTCCCATCGTATTATTTCAGTCACAAATCCACCGACAGTAGTGTAAACAAAAACACACGTGGGATATGAATATCGCCATTCACTTTTGATGACGTCACAATTACATATGGCGCATGACCATGACGTCACAACTGAACACGTGCTAATCGGCACGATCGATGCTATCTCCCCATTGGGGTTACACGCTGATATTCCCCGGCTGAAACGGAAGACACACCTGCGAAGGGCGGGAGAAATATATATCCTTGTCTGCCCTTTACAAATATAAACTTTTCAGAGCTAAACTATTTGGATTAAATATACTGCATTGTAATATTAAAATATCAGGTGTTTCATCACATGCAGTCTCTAATAAAATCTAACACGTGGACATATTTTTGGCGTATTCAGGTCAAAATAAGAGTGTTGGATGTGGCGTGTCTGTGTATAATTTAAACATTATGGGAAACTGATATTTGTGTCAGTTTGTAATACAGATACGTAAGGCACCTACCGCAGAATACGGGAGTGCTGTTGCGTTACAGATATCATCATTGTAATGATGATATAGTTTTGCTTTCTCAAGTTTAGAGATTAATTGTTGAATGTGGGTTGTCTTTTAAAAAGGACTCGTAAGAATCCATGACTGATTACATCTACAGGAAGGATAATTCATAGCAGCATTTTCCTGAAAGTAAGACCTTGATTTCGTGCAATAATTATATACATGCTGAACATGTTTATGTTATACGGGTAACATATACATACAGGTTGACCTTGTAGACGAGTTCTGTACAATCAGAGTCACCTTGTGGAGGTTATAGATTATTGTGTTATTGTGGTCGACACGATACTCAACAAGCATAGCTCCCTGATGTATTTTATACAAAGGTATTTACGCCTTTAATGTTGACACGGTAGACGGATACTCTATAATTAGAGGTGTCTGGTGTATTTTAAACATAGACATTCAAGACCTAGTTGGTGACACTGTATACAGAACATATACGCCCTGTCCCCATTTGCGTAGCTTATAAACAGATTTTGTATAGTTTACACGATGATTTTTAGACGGATATTCAACAATCAGAGTTGCCTGGTGAAAGGCGAGTAAGTTATTCAGTGCGCCACCCAACCACCATAACCACCATCTCAAATGTCCTTAATTATAATTTATTGAAGGGGAAATGTCCTCATGAAATATATAACACTGCAACTATTTCAAATATTGTCTTTGTCTCCCATCAACATCTGTCCCTCATTCTTGCTTCCCCGCTGAAGTGGGATGGACCTTACCTCAATATTTACCCGAATTTCCCTGTTTAGCCCCAACCCTCTGCTCTCAGTGGACACATGCTCCATTTTTACAAAACTGATTTCACATTGCCTAAGGATGCTATTAACCATATTTGGACAAACCCGTTAGTTTGTTGTATGTGATACAGTGGTAAATACGACCTAGGTATTGCCCTTGTAGACGGATACTCCTCAATCTTGGTTCCCGGGTGTATTTTATACAGTGCCACTTGAGACCTAAATGTTGACATGGTAGGCAGATACTCTACTATTAGAACTTTCGTTTTTCCCTACAACTGTAACAAAATACAGCTTTTCTGTACAAGCCTGCCATATAACACGGGTTTGGTGTTTAAGGACGAGAAAACATTCTTAGTTAATACCATGCTCTGATAAACAATAATATTTGTGTTTAATGGAAACCAAGTACGAATCAAATATTGCTTTTACGTTGTAACATGTTTAAGCACATAACAACGAATCCATGCAGCATTACGCTATGTTCATGCAATATGTCTGTTTCATGTCACAATTACTCTATTTTAAAAGAAAACTGCCATATCCTCTTTTAATGATAATAAATAAATAGTATTAATTAAACTTATAAACTAGTTTTCACGCAATCGTGTTTAAGCTGAAACAAAAGTATGATCATATTAAAGTATGGCAATATGTTAGGTTGGTAGCTTTATCTAAGGGATGGACAATGTAAATTGGTAATTTACACACATCTCTCCAGTTATCCCTTTTATCTCATGGAAGAATTCTCAAAACGCAGGAATGTCACAATGTCAAGATATACATAAAGCAGCAAGTCTTTATGGTTACCTTGTAGACGCATTTTCTACAAACAGCGTTCACTAATGTATTTCATATAGATAATATTTAAGTCACATGGGGATCGTATCCACACTATCAAATTTCGAACGCCTCGTATATGCCAATGATTTGTGGTTGATGTCGTAGAGAACAATTATTCGATTGTCATAGAATAGAAGACATCAATTTTATTATCATATTCCCTAAATCTAGATCTTGACTTCGTGGACGAATTATATACACTCAGAACTTCATAATGCCATTTTACACACTTCAAAATATATGTTTACATTGTAGAGGAATTTTCAACGATCAGAGCCCCCTTTTGTATTTTATACATACATTAATTATGTTCTTGTGGTCTACATTAGACGGGTTATTCTTCAATCAGAGCCCCCTTGTGTTTCTAAAACATAAGTATACTGTTTTGGTCTACACCATGACCCTGAAGACGGATACTCTTCTATCTGAGCCCCAGTGTGTATTGTATACACCGGCTAGTGTGGTCAAGACGATGCCCTTGTAGACCGACAATCCAAAAGCATAGCTCTCCAATGATTCTACACGTATAAAGCTAAGGCACTACTATTTGATACAGAGGTAGTGTAAGCCTAAATGTTGAACCTGAAATGGATCTGAGCCCCTTTATGTATCGTATACACCGGTAATTGTGGTCTACATGATGACCTTGTATACGGATACCCTACAATCTGTGATACATTTTGTTGTTGTTTTGAAAACGGGTTTCATACAGGTTCTATACATACACACGTACAACCTTTACCTATTTCTGTTTATCACATACCAGGAACAGGTTTTCTATACAGTAGACATTCAAGTCTCACATGGGTTTGTGGTTTTAGGACCAGGAAAATATGCTGCGTAGATACCATATACCGAGAAACAAATATAATAATGGAACAAGAGACAGTTAACACACGCTATATGTTTAGTATTTAAAGACGTCAAGAGATATGGAACGCCACGACTGTCAACATTTCATTGTCTGTATTATGTTGGGTTAACATATCATTATATTTGGTTGACATGGCATTATGTTGGGTTGACTTGTCACGACATGCGGTTAGTATGTCATTATGTTGGGTAGACATGTCGTTATGTTCGGTTATCGTGTC